GCAGTGATGACAGTATGGTGTATATGCACATTGCAAGTATACACCAGTGTATGTGTGTGTGCAAACACACATATGCTCTCTTCCAACCTTCTGTCACCCCCACAAAGTAATCCTGTGAATTTCCTGAGGGAGCGGTCCAGCTCCTCATCCCCTTGGGCTAGACCCTGGTGGGCACCTTGGCAGGGAGCAGCAGGGCTCAGGCTGGGAGGAAGAAGACGCAGGTGTATTCCTCACCCACCTGTAAGTAGCCAGATGATTCCAAGAACATCCATGGACTTTTCTGACTAGCAGGGTCCAGAGATGCCCAGAGCATTAATGCGAGTCTTGTGGAAGAGCCGGGGAAAGAGGAGGGTGTGAGTGCTCCTCGACTACCTGGGTACACCTGGTGCTGCTCCAAGCACTGAGACACTGTTCTATTTCCTCCTCACAGCAGTTCCTTGAGGAAGAGATCTCTGTGCCCATTTGGTAGGGGAGAAAACAGGGGCTCCAAGAGTCAAGGATGTGCCAAAGGGATCTCAAGTGCCAGTTGGGAGTTGTAGGACTCCAACTTGGATCTGTCCAGTTCCTAAGCCTTGACATGCCCACGGTGTCAACTGCCCCGCCACCCTTCAGGGCATGGTGCACTCCGCCTACAGCAGCAGCCTCCAAAGGTTAGCTTAATTTCCTCAGTGAGTGATGAAGGATTAGAAGATGACAAAGTCTCTGCCGATGGAACGTTTCAAGGAGAGTCTTCTCAGCTACTTGGGGGAGTCTCTGTGAAAGAGCTTTTACTTGGCTAGGAGTTGGAGACCCAAACCAGGGTCTGATTCTGGCCAAGCTGCTCACCCACATCATGAGCCTGCAGACAAGGAGCACTAGGCTAAGGGCTCTCTCAGGATGTGGCAAGGGAGAGCAGGACACATGGTGCAGCAGTCACAAACCTGGGCTTGACATCCCAGGGAGGACTAGAGGAACCACATCCCGAGTGTCTCACAGATCTGGTATGCACCAATAGTCCACGAGTGCTACCTCTACCCTCTACCACTAACTTCTATCTAGTGCTCGCTGTATTCCAGACTCAGTCCTCAAGGTTTTACAGACATTAACAGCTAGTCTTCGTAACAAGCTGTGAGTCAGGATTGCTGTTGTGACTTCCCCTTGGAGACGCAAGAATGAAGACAGAGGTACATAGCATTCCCAAATCCATGCTGTAATGTGTGGAATGTAACTTCTATCCCAGCGCTGTCAAGTTCCAGAAATGTGATCTCACGTGCTCTGCCTTTGCCTTCTTGCATTTTAGCTTCTCTAGCTACCTGGGACCAAGGGCAAGGTTTGGGGCACAAATGGAGGTATCACCTGGAGTCAGCTGTCCTACCACCAAGCAAAGTCTTGAGAATATCTATGCCCTGCTGCACTCAGTGCCACCCCTCATAACTCTGCAGTGAGAGGACTTCACTCCCAGCAGCAGGTGCATCAGCAGCTTGGCAGCGGGAACTGTGGTCCCAGCCAGATGGGGACGAACAGGCCTCACATGCCTGTTCCCTGCTCAAGGTCACTGAGCCAGTTAATGGAAAAGGGTTAGCAGAAGCCAAGCTATCTCAGCCATCATCCTCCCAGGCCTCGGTCCCACCTGCCATCCCAGTGCAAGGCAGTCTGGGGAGGGAATCAATACACAGGCTGTGCTTGTGGAAAATGTCATCAGAGCCACCCCAGGAGACTATGATCTGAGCTGACCCCATGGCAAGCCTATGCCTTGCTTCTTTATTCCCTTGATAAGGTAAGTTAGCAGAGCCTGTTTTATACTGCTTTGAGGAAGGATGACTTGTATGTCTCAGAGGTATCATCAGTAGAGATCATGGTCCTCTTGGACCTACAATGTAGAAGCAAAGCAGGTTGGCAGGAAGGAGCAGGTCAGGGAGGCCCACACTGAGTGCCTGAGGCAAGCTTTGGGAGATGGGAGGTGCTTTCCAGGTGTGGAAGAGTTGTCCCAGAGCCTTCTATGCTGAGGGAGGAGCAGATTCAGCAGCCTGGTGATGGACAGGCCACTCATGCAGGGATTAAGCTGAGTGTGGATGGAAGGATCATGAGGCTGAGGCCAGAGAACCTGGTAAACGCCAGATATCATGGAAGATTGTGAAGGTCATCTCAAGGACTTCAGAGTCCATCTTGTGAATGCAGTGGGTAGACAGTGAAAGGATCTACCAAGGAATAAACAGTTCCTGAGGAGCTATAGGATAGCATTGAGTGTACCTGCAAAACACCACCTACGATCTCCTTTCAGCAAACAAGAGACACTCAACTTCTCTCTGGCTCAGTGGGTTAGTGACCCTGCTCTCAGGTGACTGTCCACAGAGCAGGTGAGCATGTGGATTCGGGTTCTCAGAGATGAAGGTACTGATAGTAAGATGACTGTCTTTTTTTTTTTTTTTATTTTAACAAACAAGGCCAAAGCAGTTACATCCAATCAGCTGGGGGAACAGATCTGCAGCCAAGTATAGCAGCTGACAGATGGCTGCAAGTAAAAGCATGGGTAAACCCAGGAAGGACTGGGAGAGGTGATTGCAAGGACAAAGCTGGGGAGGAAAAAGGCTGGAAGTGAGGATGCTAAGAAGGCAGCAATAGCGACTGGAGTACCAGCCAGGGTTCTTACAAACTGCTGGGCTTTGGGCAAGTCACTTCCTCTCTTGGAAACTTAGTCTCCTCTGCAAACCAGAGAAAGAGAGAAAGAACTGTGCCTAAATACAGCATTGAAAGACTATAAACTGGAAAATAAATTCATATTTACTTGGGCAGAGCTGGATAGTCCACAAAGCATATCATTTACTTCATTTTCTTAGAGTCCCATGGGAGAGGAGGTGACATCTGTTGATGTATGTGTTGTGTGCCAAGTACATGGTTGGATTTTTGTTTGCAGCCATCTCATGCTAGCTTCCTAGCAGCCTTCCTAGATAGCATCATTACCCTGATTTGCATTTGAGAAAAGTCAGCCTGTTAGGGAGGGGTACAGTTAGAGACTGACCTCAAAGTGGTCTGGTTCCAAATCCCCAGGACTCACCATGCTGCCACTTTAGGTTACACATCCAACCTCCACAGCCTTGTTCCTATGCCCTTGGCCTCAAGGTCATTTTGAGGTTCACCTTAGGTAAATTGGCTAACTTCTCTAATATTTGGTTTCTTCATATGTAAAAAATACAAGCTAATATCACATTCTGTGCCATAGAAAATTAATATAAGCAATATAATTAAGTCAGTTCAAATGGATAAATGGGTCGAGTACTTGGCCTAAATGTGAAGTTACTGTTTGGAATGACTGCATCCCTTGTTGGCATGCTAGTAGGAGTTCCTAATTTCTTCTTCCTGCTAATGTGCATCCTGGAAGGCAGCAGGTGATGGCTCAGATTGTGTCATTGCTACCTATGTAGGGGACCCAGATGGAGTTCCTAGCTCTTGTTTCAGCTTGGGCCAGCCTCAATTGTAGTGATTATTTGGTCAGAGGGAGGGGGAATTGGGGTGGGGAATATTATTACCACAGTCCTTTCAAATAAACTTAAGTTAAAAAAATTTAGATCCATACATAAATGAAATATAATATTTGTAAAATTCTCAGAATAGTGTTTGGCACAGATTGAACATAATGTGTTTTACATGGAATCCATCCACTGGAAAGAAAGAAAGGAAAAAGCCATTGGCAAGAATGTAGGACATTGGGAATTTTTAGACATTGATGATGGCAGATGTTTTGAAGAGACTTGGAAATATCCGGTGAAGTTGAAATTGTACATATCTCATGACCCAGCAACTACATTCTGCAGGTTAAATGCCCTAGAAAAGTATTTGCACATGCATGCAGGGTGATCTACAAAAAAAAAAAAAAAAATGTTTGTGGCAGAGACCAGTACTGTAGCACAGCCAGTTAAGCTGCTGCCTATAAAGCCATCATTACATATGGGTGTTGGTTTGAATTTCTGCTGCTCCACTCTGATTCAGTTCCCTACGAATGCACCTGGAAAGCAGTAGAGGATGGCCCAATTGCTTGAACCCCTGATACGCATGTAGGAGACCTGGATGGAGTTTCTGGCTCCTTGCTTCTGTCTGGGCCAGCCCTTGCTGTTGCAACTCTTTGGGAAATGAACCAGCGGGTGAAAGAGCTCTGTGCTCCCTTCTCTTTAGCAGCAAATTAAAAAAAAAAAAAAACTTGTGGCAGCATAATTTGAAAGAAAAATACTGTAGACAATGTGGTTTCCATCGTCAGGAAGATAGATAGGCTGTGTTATAGACAGATGTGGAATACAATACAACAGTGAAAAACAAGAGAACTAGAGCTGTCCTCACCAGTGCAGATGATGGGTGAAAGGCAAGTCTCAATGCCTACAGAACAATATTGTCTTTATAAAGTTCAAGGATACACAAATAAAAATCCACCATTTAGGGATGCTTACACACTTATATAGACTGAATGGCAAACAAAAAGTTCAAACTGAATGTCATTTGTCAGGTGTGGGCATAGGTGGGAAATAGGAAACAGGATAAAGAATGGAAAATAATATTTTGTTTCATCAACTGTTGAGTACCTGGCCATTCATTATGCCATTATTTATATTCTGTCTATCAAATATGTACATATTGCTCTCTGTCTGACTGATTAACTGTGACATGTGATAACAGATAAAAATGCAATTATAAAGGGATACACTTGAGCAGAGACAGTATGCCTTGTTTACTTACTGTTGTCTGGCGGCAAGCTGCTTGCTTGCTCTTGGAAAGTATTTCAAGACTTGCTTATTAAGCGACTGAGTGAATTAGCACACAGTGTTCAGTCTTTATATCCCCACTTCACAGCCCTTCCACCACCATTCATAGTGACCAGGAGCTAGAGCTCTTGGTGCTAAAAACCACTAGACATCTCTGTATCAGAGAGCTTACACAGCTCTGCTTACTCAGTGATCCATGCTCCCACACATCCATACCCATGTCTGGGTGTGGGAGTGGGCATAGGGTTCCCAGAAGAGCCTGCAGCTCACCTTGGCACACAAATGAAGAGGGTGTTTCCCCTGGATGGATGCGTCCTGTGATAAAAATAACCTTCTGCTCCGCCCCTTCCTGGAGATTGTCTGTAAGAGAAAATGAGATAGAGTCACCAAAGGGAGCAGGGGAAACTGAGATGTGGGAAGAAGCAGATGAAGAGTGGGCTGGATGTTTTATGTTTATCTCTCTTTTTTAAAAAAAGTATGCATTTGAAGGGGAGAAAGAGAGAGACAGAGAGAATCTTCCATCTGCTGGTTCACTCCCCAAGTGGCTGCAACAGCTGGAGCTGAGCTGACCTGAAGCCAGGAATCATGAGCTTCTTCCGGGTCTCCCATACAGGTTCAGAGTCTTAAGGCTTTGGGCCATCCTGTAATGCTTTCCCAGGGCATAAATTGGGAGCTTGATAGGAAATGGAGCAGTCAGAACATGAACCAGCACCTGTATGTGTTCCTGGTGAATACAAGGCGAGGATTTAGCTGCTGAACCATTGTGCCAGGCTCCGAAAATGAATATTATAAAATCTACTCTTGGATTGCAAAATAGTTTGCACCAAAACAAATTCTCTTTTGAAAATTTTGTAGTTCATTCATTTTCATTTCGTTTGAAAGACAGAGAAAAAGAGAGAGAGAGAGAGACAGAGATGTGTGCCACAGCTACGGCAGAACCAGGCTAAAGCCAAGAACTCAGAACTCCATCTGTGTCTCCCATGTGGATGACAGGAACCAAACTACTTGAGCCATCTTCTACTGCCTCCCAGGACGTACACTAGCAGGAAGCTCTAACAGAAACAGAGCAGCCGGAATTTAGAACCAGTACTAGCATAGGAGGTGCCGATGTCTCAAATTGCACAGTCATTGGGAATCACATAGGGCCAGGAGTCTTGGAATTCCAACCACTAAGGTGGAGTCCTTCCTCATTATTCAAGGGGATCTCGAGCTCAGAAGGGCCTTTTCTTTGTGATTAGGCTGAATTGCACTAGACACACTCTGAAAAGCTTTAAAACAAGTGTCTGAAGGATCAAAAACAGAAAGGAGAAATGTTGACTGCTTGCCCTATGAAGCCGAATTCTCTTTAAACCATGATGGCTGTGTGGGCATTATGGAACATCTGGTTAAATTGCTACTGGGGATGCCTACATTCCATATTGGAGTGCAGGTTTGAATCCTGGCTGCTCTGCTTCCTTCTAATGCTTCCTGGTGAGCAGTGGATGATGCTCCTGACACCCATGTGGGAGACATGGTTACGATTCTAGACTCCTGGTTTTGGCCTTGGCTATTGTGGATATTTGGAAAGTGAGCCGGTGGACAGCTCATTCTCCCTCTTTCTCTCTTGCTGTCTGTCTGTCTGTCTGTCTCTCTCTCTGCTTTTTAAGTAAATTAAATAAATAAACATTAAAAAAGGAAGGTCACATATTCCAGACATTGAACAGTATCTCCATACTGTTGGAAAACATGTCCCCAAATCAGAATCAAAGCTCAATCTGCCTCTCTCTAACTCAAATAATAAAGTTTAATTCTTGTGCAACGTATTATTAGATAAAAGCTGTAGCTGAGAGTAACATTGCAAGAAAAAAATGGGAAGGGAGAGCATCTATAGTTACAGGCAGAAGAACAATGGATTGACATACAACAGAAAAATGACCTGGAGGAAAGTGAAGGAAAAATACTGGATGAAATGCTAGAAGCAGATGATGTTGATGCCCCAATAGCATTGACTACAGTAAACAACACTACCTTGTCCAACCTGGTTCTGAGGGTGTGGACTGGCTTAGTCCACCAGGCTTGCTTGAAAGGTAGCAAGAAATAGAACAGAACCAAAATGTGTTCTTGAGAATGCACTCTGTGCTTAGTTCTATAGTAGGTATGTTGAGAGAGAGAGAGAGAGAGAGAGAGAGAGAGAGAGAGAGAGAGAGAAATTCACTTGTTCTGAAGAAGTTTATGATTTAAAAGATGCTTTAGATACCTTGGACATATCCTGGGCTAAACACAAGCTCCTCAAGAGAGAAACTGTGCCTTCCACCAGCACATTTCTAACATCTTTCCCAGAACCCTGCAAGGAGTAGATACTTGAGAAATGGGTTTTGGGGGGGGGACACTGCATAGAACACAAATTCTAAATAAATTTAGCACATACTCATTTTTGTTCTTTTGACTCATTTTCTCAGGCCTCTCTAAGGTGGATAGCATTATCCTCATTTACAGGTGCAGAAATTGACACTGAAGGAAGGGACATGCCCCGGGTCGTGCAGCTGCCAGCGGTAGCATCAGCCCTGGTTCCCAGCCACTGTCGCTTACACCACTAACAACAATGTAAGATCCTGCATCTGCTGCATGTCTGCCAACAATGCGCAGAAGAGTGTTTGCTCTCATCCCCCCATACTGATGGAAATTAAGCCACTGTCTTACATGTATATGATTTTTCACTTAAACGTAGCTAGCTTTGTTGTTGTTGTTGTTAAGCAAGTCCCTTAGAAAAAAACCAAAACACTAACGCTGAACCCATCTATCCCAGTAGTCCAGAAATGATAAAAGAGTGTTAAGGAGGCCCCTGGTGAAGGCTAACTTTATGGATGTCTCCCCTGACCCAGTATCAGCTCAATTGCATGCGGCATTTCTGCTGACCACGGTAAAATGCAAAACGGGCATTCTGTCTGCACACTAATTTTACTGAACCCCTGTGTCTTCATAAAATGATAACGTGGGGCTAATAAAAATCAAGCATCTCGGGTGCTAATATAAGCAAATGTTGATGCAGGCAGGTAACAAATTGCTTTGTCATTTAGGAGGCCGTAAAAGAGCATTATAATCATCTTTAGGCAAAATGGATAGGGCACCTTTGCTTAGCTTTTAGCTTTCATTTGCAAAATCAATTTAAGGTAATGTCGCAGCTCTGAGGTGGTGTGACATGAGACCACCCCCACCCCCTCTTGTCACCAAATCCCAGGACACCTTGTGAAGCTAATTAAACCTCCTCTTGGTGGAGGCAGTGGGATGGAGAAGGATGGATTCTTGGACAAAGTGTGGAGCAGAATGTAGACAATGAGACTGAGATGGACTCATAAGGGATGCTAAAGTCCGGAGAACTCTCAAAGGTTGGCAGGCTCAAGGGTACCAGTACACACTCAGTTGGAACTGGGGAGGCCACAGAAGGCTTCCCAGTGAGCCTAAAGTATCTGAAGTCAAATGTGCAAACACACTAGTGTGTATGTACCCACAGTCCCACTACACACACGTACACTCACACACACGTACACACACACGTGTGTGTGTGCTTCTCTTGGTCATGATAGAAAGTGAAAGAGAACAATCGTATTATCCCCTCATGACAGCAATTAAGTAACATTTACTGTGTGCCAGACAATTCACACATTCAAATTTATTTAATTCTCCTTTTAAAAGATATATTTATTTACCTGAAAGACAGGGTGACAGAAAGTGGGAAGAGAGAGAATCTTCCATTTGCTAAGTCATTCCCCAAATGACCACATGAGCCAGGTCAGAGCCACGCTGAAGTCAGGATCCGGAAACTCTCATATTGTGGCCAGGGGTTGAAGTCGCTGGACCATCCTCTACTGCCTTCCTAGGCATGTTAGGTAGGAGCTGCATCATAAGTGAGATAGCCAGGACTTGAACCAAGTGCTCTAATATGGATGCTGAGTTACAAGTAGCTGTGCCTCAATTCCAGCCCACTTATTTAATTCAAAGCACCTCAATGAAACATTTGATCTCAGTTCTCTTTGATAGGCTAAGACGTTGAGATCCGAGATGCTTAAATGACTTGTCTAAACTTGAGTAACTGGCAAATATGGCAGCGAAGTATAACTAAGAAATGTTAGTTTTTTTAAAAAAGGTTTTAAATCTTACTTACTTTTGAAAATTTGTTTTTCTAGTGTATGTGAAGTGCAAATCGAAACAGGGAAAATGACACTCATACTCATCCTCTCTCTCATACACACACAGATCTTTCATTTGCCTTTGGTTTACTCCTCAAATGTCTACAAAAGCCAGAGCTGAGCTAGGCTGAAAGTAGGAACCAGGAACTTCAACTGGGTCTCCCACGTGGCTGGCAACAATTCCTCTACTCGGGCTGCCATCTCCTGCCTTCTGGACACATTAGCAGCAAGCTGGACTGGAAGCATAGGTAAGCTGAGTCCCAGACTCCAACGTGTGATACAGGCCTCCCAGGAGGCAAACGAATCTGTTGCGCTACCATGTCCACTCCAACTCCACATTTTTGTAATCTCAAATGTCTTCCCTTAACGAGTTTGGCACGTTGGTTCTTGAAGATCACATAGGGTCCCTGTGATGGCTTTAAAAATACACCCCTTCAAGAGGTGGGATGAACTCTGTTTCCCTTTAGTTTGTGGGCTGGACTTACAGACATGATTTTAAAAAACTAAAATTCTGGGGCCCAGCGCCGTGGTGCAGTGGTTAAGGTCCTCGCCTTGCACGCCCGGGATCCCATATGGGCGCCGGCTCTATCCTGGCAGCCCCGCTTCCCTTCCAGCTCCCTGCCTGTGGCCCGGGAAAACAGTCAAGGACGGCCCAAAGCTTTGGGACCCTGCACCCATGTGGGAGACCTGGAAGAGGCTCCTGGCTTCGGATTGGCATAGCATCGGCTGTTGCGCTCACTTGGGGAGTGAATCATTGGATGGAAGATCTTCCTCTCTGTCTCTCCTCTCTGTATATCCGCCTTTCCAATAAAAAAATAATAAAAATAAATCTTTAAAAAAAAAAAAAGCAAACTTCTGTGAAAGTCACTTCTGAGACTTGACTGTAAAGACAGCATGGCTTCCATCTTGGGTGTGCCCTCTTTCTTTCGTGAATTGCTCTCTTGAAAGAAGCTGACTACCATGTCCCAGGGGCACTCCAGGAATTTGTGATGAGACCAACATGGGGAGGAAATGAGGTATGTGGACAACCACCAACATAGACTGAAGTCTGCCCAAGCCACATGAGTGAGTTCAAGGGAGGATTCTGTAATCTCAGATGGACACAGTCCTGGTCAATAGCTACACTAGAACCATCTGACCCAGCTCCTCCTATATTCCTGACCCACAAAAGCTTAGAGGGAATGGATATTGCTG